ATCAGAAAAGCAAACGCAAGCTAAGCCAAAACGCAAACAAAGCTGGGCAAAATGTTAAGAAAGAGAAAAATGTAGATGTATGTATTCGAGCCAAACAACAATGAGCGCAATTAAACAAATAATAATAATTAAGGAAAATTACTGAGATGCTAAAAGAGAAACCAACAATGTTCATGCTATTTTTATTGAAATTTCATTAACGGTTAACATGAGACGCAGTTAAGCTTTAAGGCTGTATGAATTTATGCCATGAAAACAGTTGAAAACCCATAAAATTTTTAATTGAAGTGAAGGGAGGTTCAAACACCTTTTATTTACAATTTAATTTATGCAAAAACTGTTATCGGTGTATGTTTAGCCAACTACATTTTGTAACTTGCAACATTGTCCAAATCGAATCTCCTCGAAGGCACACTTGCATCACATCTCCCATATTTTTGTTTTTCCCCAACTAGTTGGCAGAGTTTAACTTGGCCAATTCATTTTGTCTCAGTCATTAACCAAATACAAGAAACCTTTTTTCTATTTCACCTTTTTTCCCCATTAAAATCAACTAAGACAAAGACTTGGGAAACGTCTTCTTTTATTAGTTGGCTTAAAGTTTCCTCTTCTACGCAGAGCCGTTTTTCCACTGTTTTCTGGCTTGGCTTTTTCACACGCTTCGTTGGCGAGCTTATAAAAAAAATCATAAAATTGAAAGAAATAAAGAAAAGCGACTTGAAAATGCAAATAGAAAAGGTTAACACACACCAAACAAAAAAGCCACAACAAAAAGCGGGACAGGCAGAAAATAATCATAAAAAGTTGACAACTTGTTGACCCCTTTGTTGTGTTTGTTGCATATTGGGGATCACGTTCGTTTTGGATCATAAAATACAATTTTTAAAACGCACCACTTCGTTATCAATGTAAATTTCCATCGCCTTTACATTTTTGTATTTCTCCGCTCTCTATTTTCATATTAACGTTTGGTTGCAACATTAAAAAAACAAAAAGTGGTAAATTAAAATTGAATTTTTAACGAAAGGAAATCATTATTTTATTCTTGATCTGCCCGGCTCAGTGGTCGTTCAGCTTTACTTATTTTCTGCCACCACAAAATGTAAGGTATATTATGATCTGAATTATTTTATTAGAGATAATACAAAAATCATAGAGAATTAACTTTTTCTATGCAGACCGTTGATGTTGGTAGATGTTGGCTTTAAAAAGGTTTAAAAAAATAATGATATTATTATTATTATTCAGAAAACTACGCTTCTGTAATCATTAAATCATCTTATAACCCGAAAAATAACAACTATTTCTACAACTTATTTAGTTTTTACTGCCCTAATTAGTTGAAATTTAATATACCGCATTTAAAACTACTTTTAAGTGTGTTCATATTTATTGCATATTTATTGAATGTTTTCCAACATTTTTGCATAGTATTCTCCACAGACACCAGAGGCTTTAAATCTTCGATTCCCGTTGCTGACGTTGGCCGTTTGCTGCCGCAGTGGTTGCTGTAATTTTCGCATAAATTTCCAATAATTTATGCAATGGCTTGCATTGTTGTCGCTCTGGTTGCCCCGATGCCTGAGTTTGAGTTTGAGTTTGAGTTCGACTCCGAGAGTCTCAGTCTCTTCGGCTGCCATTTTCCTCCGCTTGTTTATCGGATTTTTTATTGTCATTTGTGTTTTTATTGAACAGTTTGTGACATTTTACGATTTTCAAAGTGAAAGGTACATATTTGGTAAATTGCTATGGTCAAAGAAATTCAACTCTCCGGATACTCGTCTGTGGAGTTTTGCTTCGGTTTAGTTTTGCTTTAAGTTTGGTATAAGTTTGGGTACTTGTATTTGCTTTTTTTGGTCTTCGTCATCCATTCTTAACTGGTTTTCCCCCCTTTTCCCACTCCTCTTTCCAGGGATGAGTTCAAGCCGCTGGCGGCTTGTTGAAAATGGGGAAAATTGCGCTTTATATATGGTCCATAAAAGTTAATAAGTAACCGCAGTCGGAGTAGCAAGTGCCAGTCACGAAACTGAATTTTTTTCTTGGTTTAAATCGCATTGAATCGATGCCAAGTCTTCGGATACTCATTCGGTTCGATACTCACGCGTGAGGCACGCGATTTTCCTATGAAATTGTCATGAAAGGTAATTTTAGGAATATTTGATGACCATTTTTAAGAAAAATGTAATTTACATATATTCAATTCACTTCTGGGCAAATAACTAACATGAAAATGGGTCAAAAATTTGATCAACGTTAAATTGAAAATTTCGAATGCAGATTTTCAGAGAATCGAATCACGAGTCTTTAGAGCTACGCCACTTTGAAATCGGACAAAATTTCGTAAAGTTATGGACTTTAGAAGTCAAATTTTGAGTCACTGTATTACAAGACATCGGAAAATTAGAAATAACTAACATGAAAATGGGTCAAAAATTTGATCAACGTTAAATTGAAAATTTTGAATGCAGATTTTTAGAGAATCGAATCACGAGTCTTTAGAGGTATGCCACTTTGAAATCGGACAACATTTCGTAAAGTTATGGACTCTAGAAGTCAAATTTTGAGTCACTGTATTACAAGACATCGGAAAATAAGAAATAACTAACATGAAAATGGGTCAAAAATTTGATCAACGTTAAATTGAAAATTTTGAATGCAGATTTTTAGAGAATCGAATCACGAGTCTTTAGAGGTATGCCACTTTGAAATCGGACTATATTTGGTAAAGGTATGGACTCTAGAAGTCGAATTTTGAGTCACTGTATTACAAGACATCGGAAAATTAGAAATAACTAACATGAAAATGGGTCAAAAATTTGATCAACGTTAAATTGAAAATTTTGAATGCAGATTTTTAGAGCATCGAATCACGAGTCTTTAGAGGTAAGCCACTTTGAAATCGGACTAAATTTCGTAAAGTTATGGACTCTAGAAGTCAAATTTTGAGTCACTGTATTACAAGACATCGGAAAATAAGAAATAACTAACATGAAAATGGGTCAAAAATTTGATCAACGTTAAATTGAAAATTTTTAATGCAGATTTTTAGAGAATCGAATCACGAGTCTTTAGAGGTAAGCCACTTTGAAATCGGACTAAATTTCGTAAAGTTATGGACTCTAGAAGTCAAATTTTGTGTCACTCTATTACAAGACATCGGAAAATTAGAAATAACTAACATGAAAATGGGTCAAAAATTTGATCAACGTTAAATGGAAAATTTTGAATGCAGATTTTTAGAGAATCGAATCACGAGTCTTTAGAGGTATGCCACTTTGAAATCGGACTGTATTTGGTAAAGTTATGGACTCTAGAAGTCGAATTTTGAGTCACTGTATTACAAGACATCGGAAAATTAGAAATAACTAACATGAAAATGGGTAAAAAATGTGATCAACGTTAAATCGAAAATTTTGAATGCAGATTTTTAGAGGATCGAATCACGAGTCTTCAGAGGTATGCCACTTTGAAATCGGACAAAATTTCGTAAAGTTATGGATTCTAGAAGTCGAATTTTGAGTCACTGTATTACAAGACATCGGAAAATTAGAAATAACTAACATGAAAATGGGTCAAAAATTTGATCAACGTTAAATGGAAAATTTTGAATGCAGATTTTTAGAGAATCGAATCACGAGTCTTTAGAGGTATGCCACTTTGAAATCGGACTGTATTTGGTAAAGTTATGGACTCTAGAAGTCGAATTTTGAGTCACTGTATTACAAGACATCGGAAAATTAGAAATAACTAACATGAAAATGGGTAAAAAATGTGATCAACGTTAAATCGAAAATTTTGAATGCAGATTTTTAGAGGATCGAATCACGAGTCTTTAGAGGTATGCCACTTTGAAATCGGACAAAATTTCGTAAAGTTATGGATTCTAGAAGTCGAATTTTGAGTCACTGTATTACAAGACATCGGAAAATTAGAAATAACTAACATGAAAATGGGTCAAAAATTTGATCAACGTTAAATGGAAAATTTTGAATGCAGATTTTTAGAGAAGCGAATCACGAGTCTTTAGAGGTATGCTACTTTGGAATCGGACTAAATTTGGTAAAGTTAGAGACTGTGGAAGTTCAATTATGGTTCTCCTTACAAATCATCAGAAACTTATAAAAAAAACTAACATGAAAATGGGCAACAAATTTATCAAGCTTTGGACTGAAACTATAATACCCTCTGCAAAGGTAAACAAATAAGGGAATATAAAGACAAATAATTTAATTAAATTTCAACATTTTGAAAAAATTGTAATTGAAAATCGTTTACTAAAACTTGCAGCACTGGAACCTCGCCAAACCAAAAAACTAATAACGTTCATGGTAACTTTTTCGGCAAAAGATGAAAGTTCTTGATTTGCTCCACTCTTACCGTGCCAAAACATTAAAGTCAATTACAGTGAGACCCCCACCCCAAAGTTCGACGCTAATTTTGGTCACGTGTGACACACACAAAAAAATCAAAAAAAATCACAAAAAAATGTCTCAACGTGATGTGTGCAAAAACCAAAAGAAAAATTTCCCCTTTGGTAGCGCGAAAATCAACACAATTAAATGCAAAAAAAAAAATGGAAAGAAAGCAAAAAGCGAAGAAAAAATAAATACAAGAAGGGAACCGGCAAAGAAGTTGCATCGAAAGGTAAACAAACTGAAGAAATGATTTGGCGGCAAGCCAGAAATTAACACAAAATATCTCAAGAAAACGACGGAAGGCGACAAACTGCAATGGCATATTAAAAGGAATATGGCGGCAATATCTTCAACTCAATTTGCATCTTACGAAAAAGGGAGTGCGGAAAAAATGATTGAGAAAAATAAATATTTGTTCCTTATAAACGGTTCGAAAATTGATTTTGGCAGAAAAAAAAGGTTGAGAAAATCAGCACAAAGCTGATGAAGTAAAAACTTTGCAGAGCAACCTTAATTTTCTAATGTGCTTTTAAAGTGAAAATTAGATGTTTACAGTAAAATACAAGAAATAGGAACTTTACTTACCCAATACAATTAAAAACAAAGCGTTTTCCTTTTTCCAATTAAAATAAACTGCAAAGAATAAATATAAATATATTTTTAATTACTCAGAAAAATAAAAAATAATTTGCAACATAATATAACGAATCTTGTGAATTTAATTCCAGCCAAAACCAACTTTAATTCCCTTAAGTCCCAATCCTTATTTTCGCTTTCATTTTTTCCTTTAACCAATTTGTATATAAAAAGGTTAAACAACAAATGAACCCACCAAATGCATGAAAGTAAATCATATTAAAGGAAACCAAACCCGAAACGGAACAAAACCACGAGAGGAAGGAACACAACAAACAAATAAATCTAAAAGAATGTAGAGGCGTGGAAAGAGGGGGTGGCGATGGTGGTGGTTGGGGGTGGCTTAACCATAGTGAGGTAAACATGATGTTGCAAGTGTTCAATAGGACAGCGAGTTGAGGGAGGGGCAGATTCTAGAGTGGATAGGTTGGATTATGGCTGCAAAAACTAACAAACCATAAAAATCCGCACATAAATTACAAGACCGAGGCGAATGAAAGAGGGGGAGTATGAAATAAACAGGGAGAAAAGAGCATGCAGTCTTTTTAATTTAAAGCTATAAAAGCTTTGAACTTTTTTTTATGCAGAACTTTTAATGGCTATTAATATTGTTTCTTACACTAAAAAAGTTTTATTTTCAGTAATACAAATTCGTATCCCCTGAAATATGATAAGGTATAAGAAATTGTAAATATGTAATTTTCTCCCAGTGTATCGACAGTCGAAGAAGCAGCAGCTGCGCCGACGATGGGCAACATACGCAAATGCAAGCAGCAGAAATTTATGAGCAGCCATTCGCAGGCAGCGCCGAGGATCCGCCAACAAAACTGCCACAAGTGGCCAAAAAGATAGAAGCCAGGAGGAGAAAAGGAGGAGGAATGATGGTAGCCAAGCAGGGTATATACATAAGACCCCGGCCAAGTGCAATGACAAAGGCAAATAAATTACAGCATCATTTGCAGGCAGAAGCAGCCGACAAAGTGGCGAAGGAAAAGCAAGGAGCAGGACCAAGGAGAAGCTTAACTATCAAAGATTGGCCAACGACAATAAAAACGGGGGAACTACCCAAAAAAAAAAATAAAAAATAAAAGAAGGAAAAATGTGGCAAAAGAAAACCAGACCCCAATCAATGTGGAAATAATTAAACGCGTTACTTTCTTCAGACTCTCTCTTCCTCTTTCTCCTTTTCTCCAGTTGAACCTTCTCTTTCCCCAAGCATTAATCAATGGTAATTGCATACGCCCAAATAAAAAAAGGAGGATCGAAAAGGGATTAAAGAAACCTACTCAGTATTATAATTTATCGATTGAACTTAGTTACCAAGGAATATATTTATTATTCTTTTAGAAAACATTTTTTTATTCAAACAATTGTTCTAGTTTATCTTTCTAGTTTTCTACTTTATATGATTGCTAAGTCGGACTTATTTTCTCTCTCTTAAATTTTTCGTTTTAATAATTTGTTTATTTCTGCTTTGGAACTTTTTCAGTCCTTTCATCAGCAGTTACGAATTATGAATCACTTGGGAGACTCCATCTCCATATTATTTTTTTTTTTTTTGCTTTTGGTATTGCAACAATACAAACAGAAATTATATTATTTTTCTCCTTTTTTTTGTAATTGAGCCCGCATTGTTGGAATGATTGTTGGGAACGGGTTCGCGCTCTTGTCTCGGGGACTTGATGATGTTTTATTGCCTCTTCTTTTCCAACTACCGCCACTTCAGATTCGTTTTCTTGTTGGGCCTTAAAAGGGTAAACTCTGGGACATAAATGTAAAATTATTTATACTTATATTCAAGGTTTAAAGGCTGTTAAAAAATTTTAAAAAAAACCGATTTTTTGGGTTGGAATTAGTAAAAAAAAATTCTGTTAAATATAAATAAAACATCCTACCATCGTTTTAAGCACAATTGAAAAGAACATAATTCTAAATTTAGTAGTTACATTTTTTATTGAGTAAAATAGGTGTGTTTATTTAACTAGATTTTCTAAAGTTTATAACCTATGACGAGCACTGTATTGGGTACAATCCCAAAAGTCATCTTGTCGGCAAAAGTCTTTGGCTTGGAAAAAAGCATTTTCAAGTGCTTTTTCGCATTTGCCGCTTGACTGATGCTTTGTTGTTGTGGACATTTTTTGTCATAGTAGTTGTTTAAATTTTTGTTGCAATTTTTGTTATTTTGACTGTTGTCGTACATGTTTTGCTGATATTGTTGTTTATGTTTCGGCTTGTTTAGTTGTGTTTTCTCCGCATTTTTTGTGTGTTTATTTTTTTTATTTGTAATATTACGTATACGTCTACAACTATTGTTGTTTTAATTGGCCCATGTTGGTGTGGCTTTTCGTGTTATTTTTTCAGTTTTCATTGCAACTTTTGTTTTTGTGCTGCTCAAATTGCAGGCGCATTCGTCTGGCGATTATTAACTTGCAGATTGCACATTTTACAGTCAATTTGGTGCGCAAATCGAGTTTGTGTTTTTTGCTCCCTTTTTTCTGTTCACCTCTTTTCCATTTTCATTCTTCCATTGCCAACTTCTTGCTCTGTTTCCCCCCGTACTTTATGTGCAATTTCTTTCATTAAAGTTGTGGATTTTCTTTATCCTAAAAGTTTACTGTATCAGGTGTATTCTTATTAATAAGTTATTCAATAAGTACAAGTACTTTAAAAAAATACACCTTTCCAATAATTCATTAAAAAAAATAATAATTTACATGTGTATATTATATATTTATCATATGCCTTCAACCTTAAACCTTCAACCAATTAATTATCTTGCTGCCGTGTTTTATATGGTTTACAAAATTGTTTATACTTTTTAAATTTTTTATGAACAAATTTTACAAATATCTTAAAATAGCAGCGATTTAAAACGATTTATCAAACAAAAAGTGGATAGCATTTAAAATACTATATTTTATGTTTTTAATATTGTTCCTTTCAAACCGGGCTCCACTGTGAAGACCCGCCGACACAAAAAGCCTACAAATCTCCCATAATAATAATTGATAAACACTCGACAGGTTCATGAACCCCACACACGCACACAAACATACCCGAAACGAAGCCAACACACAAAAAAAATACTAATAAGTAAATAAAAAGTAAACGAAGTAGGAGAAGAAGTGGGGCCAGGGGAGATAGAGCACGAAGAGCTGGCAGAAACTTCATCGTTTAGTCATTTTTGCTGAATTTCTTATAATTATTTTTAGCTTCAGTTTTTCTGCCTTCGTTTGTGAGTCACGTGGCGGGGGAATACCCCTCGCTCCCCCCTGCCAAATGGTCTTTTAATTGCTTAGCAAAAAAGAGAGCATAAACAAAATAGACGGACAACTCTGATTCGCTGGCTATTAAAGTAATTATGGAAAGTTGATGATTTTTACGCATTTGGCGAGTAAATTGATTTTGATAGTTTATTTTTGCTGTTCACAGACTCAGCTGGAAATTAGCGTTGTTTTTTATAAGGGTGTGACTAGAAACGCTGTTTTTTCAAATGCATTAAATTCATCGATGCAAAAATTGCATCTACACGGAGAAAAGAAGTGCAGAAATATTCATCAGTTAGATACATTTTCATTTAAAAATATTTGATAAATTATAAATGGACAGATGTTTTAAGGTAAGCCTCTTTGATATTATTAATAACTGTTTGATGACCTTTAAAAATGTATATTATAATTATTATTCAATTTGTTAAATTGTAATATAATTTTAAAAAAATTTCTTAATACCCATTTTGGTTTTGTCTTCCACATTGCTTCCATTTTAATACTATTCACATTTTGTATTTATTTTAATCAGTCTTAAATTGTGATAATTAAGATTAATTAAATAAAACAAAGATGATAAGCAAAAATGAGAGACAATCTCCCGCAGATATTGTTTTTTTTTCATTGCGCTCTGTGGGAATTTTTTTAGTATACCCCCTGTAACCGGTCATGGGCCATAGCAAATCGGTTTTGAAATGCAATAAAGCGTGATTTTCCAAACTGAAGCGTAACGAGCAACGAACGAGCAGCAACAAAGGCAGATCCAGTTATATATAAATGTATATATATAAACATAGGGGTTCACATGTTGGGTACATTGCAAAATAAACACCTGAAGCGAGACAGATAGAGCAACAACAAAAGCAAACACATTTCGTAGGGCCAAAATGTTATCTCTTTTGTAGCCCCGAGGGCCGAAAATGGGTTAAATGGGGAGGGTGGAAAGGGGAAATCGAAAGTGAACCCAACCCCATATCATCTCCACTAAGCCAAACCGAACTAACCCACAAAATCAAGGTGATTTCGCTCGGTCGAATGCAGCAGAACAGAGTGATTTGAAAAATAGAGAAAATGCAGATAGAAAATGTTTTAAAATTCATGTGGAAATTGAGTGGAAACGTTCAACGAAATCGTAGTCAAAAAAAAGTATGTAAAAAGCAATCCACAAACAATTATTTATTAACCACTTATGAAACGCATCATCAAACAGATAATCGGCCATTAAGTTGATATGATTAATGATAACAAGACACAATCAATGTAAACGATTACGTAATCAATCAGATAAAAAACTAGATTTTCATTGAACTTCTTTATCAATAAAAATGTTTCATTGGTGTTTTGGATTACATGAACAATAAATAAATCATAAAGGCGATAACCAAGTTGCCATCACACTTCCAGGTGTAACAATAGAAACATCGATTAAATCATTATACACACAATACTTTTTAACTTAATTTAAATTAAATAATTTTTATAATTTAAATTAAATAATTTTTATAATTTAAATTAAATTGATGCGAATAATAGGATATATTAGGAATCAATTGAGTTACAGGTACGCAATTATACTGATTAAATTAGATTTCAAGTCGATCAATACTGATTAATAAAATTCCATTAAATAAGAGAAGGTTAGCCGAAGTAACAGACGATAATCAATCAAATTTGGATTAAGTAATGCTTAAGGCTATCTAGCTTGTACTAGTTTTAGTTGTTTGACCG